TGCGTCCCAGAAAAACGAAAGCGAGAAGTATCGATGTTCTATCATAACTTAATCACAACTATAATTAATGAATGATACATATTTGTATAAAGCTTAGAGTCTTCTCTTTCATGTGATGCTACTCAGATGATGCATATTTCACGCATGAGTGATTAAAAGCAATTTGAAGGAAGGAAACCAAAAAGACATTTGGCGGGCGGTATCTGAATTTCGAAGAAAAAAAATCACATTTCTAGAAAGTTGAGTTCCTGCCCTTTCATATGACACCTCAATCAGGAAAAATGAGCGAGGAATGACAAAGTTCTGTTTGTTTAAAGTAGTGCTTGCATTTCCATAATTTTATTAAACGAATTCGTTTTCACTGGCTGCCTGCCGTATCAATAAACGAAATTAACAAAAGACTTAACTCCGTTTCGTTGACAATCAGCCGTAGACGAGAGCCTTCATGCATGGCTGATTGTCAACAAAACGGAGTTAAGTCTTTTGTCAAATCTGCTTTTTGCTACGGCAGACACCCAGTGAAAACGAATTCGTTTGTTAAAATTATGAAAATGTAAGGGCTACTGAAATATGCATCATCTGAGTAGCATCAACTGAAAGAGGAGACTCTAAGCTTTCCAAATATGTATCATTCATTAATTATGGTTGTGATTAAGTTATGATAAAACATCGATACTTCTCGGTTTCGTTTTTTCTGGGACGCACTGCAGTGCAGAGATGGAAAAACCTATACATGTATAGGTTTTTGACTGGATAATGTTCATACACCAACATGACTTATTTAGCAATACGAAGAATACAAATTATTCTCGACCTCCTCTTACCCTGTATCCGCTGTAGATATTTGAATTGATGTATAATATCTTGACATTAGATCTAAGGTTTAATTGGATTATATAGGAAGGACTAAATTCCATATATAGGGTATTGGCAAGTGACCTTTGTGTTTTTGTTTGCTTCCTTTTCAAATTATCCGACATGTCGTTTCTTTTGTCCGCTATCTATTGAGAAAGGAAAACATGCAAAGATAATTGAATTACAAGAGCGCATTCATAATAAACCCATTTGTTAAATCGAAAGCGTTCTGGTTGGGACTGAATAATTCAATTGCGATCCAAATTCGTATATTAATGCAATTACAATTATGAGAGTTGCTTAGATGTTTCATTTTGATTTTTAGAAGGTTTGTCATTTTAGATGTCACAATGTGATAAGGTTGAAGACTTTGCAATGGATAGTGAAATCAAGAACAATAAAGTGGTGAAGTGTGACGTCATCAAAATCTATTTTTAGAATTTCTCAATTTTTTCTTTATTTTCCGAAAGAGTATAAAAAATAATGTCCAAATGTCGAAAACCAATTGAATATGATACGATCTATTTTCACGTATTCATGTTCACTGTATTGAAGAAATTGAATATGAAGTACAAATGCATAATTATCATAAATCATTTACAAGAACTCATATGCCACACGGCCCAGTAAGAAGCATGCGACAAAAGCCGTGAACCCTTTGATTAGGTATAGGTAAAGCGATTTAAGCCTCTTCGTGATAAGAAGAGATGGAAACTCTAACTCTACAAGAACATTTCCGACGCCATTTTCCTAACGGATGCCAAAGGTCCCTGGGCTGTCAAGCTCATTGGCATCCGAGGCATCGATGTCGTTTGGCGGGAATTTTAATTTAAGACCAGACGTCGGAGAATATTGCAACTTTATACACGAGATGATCGAATGGATTGGTGATGAGGTACAGACAGCCGCCGATAAGATCTTCCAGAGGACAGCTCCGGCTTTGGGGTAACTGAAACTGATACTTCGTCTGTTCAGGGCCAGAACGGCATCCAGTCTGTGTTTACGTATATGGGTTAACGCCCTTCCGGCTCAAAAGAGACTCTTTCAAAGATTGCATCAATGAGACATCTATATAAGACACAAAGTGCAAACGGTAAGGTCTTTGTCAGTGCGTCCTGAAACCCAATCGGTAAATGGTATTGCTTCCATGTCCTTTGCAGCAAACTTAAGAGAATGATACGCTTGGCACTAAGCTATACAAATTTTCTGGCGTCAACCACTGGCTTGCAAGGATAAGAATTTAGCATGAATACTGGTCTTGACTATTCGATTTTAGTCTTCATATCAGTCTCTTATGTCCTATTTCGTCGTGATCGTGCTCGATACTGATCAACGATATCTGATATCATCCCAAATACCAGCAGGCCAAGTTGATATTAAATAAAGGCCCAATTTTCTTCTACTTCAGTGAAATAGTTCTCTCATTAAATTAAGGCATCGTTTACCAATGTAAAATCTGAGATGCATGGCCCTACGTGTTATCAGTGTCTGTGATATGGTGTAATAAAAAAAATGATCATGAAGTGCCTCAAAAAAGTAAATATCTTTGAGTGACCGGTTTTACCATACTCATTTCCCCCAATAGACAGTAGTGTTATACAAACCGTTAGGAAAACGGAATATTTAATTTCGATTTTCAATCATAAATATCTTGATAATCAGACAGGCGATCGGCTTGTAAAAGTCATGGGGTTCCTGACTGACCTAAAGGTTTATAATTATCAATTCAGCATGAGCTAAATCCAGGATTTTGTTTCAGAATCTGACCGAATGTTACCGAGTCACTTTAACGTAGAAGTCCTTGAAAAAGAACTTCACTGTAGTCGATTCAAATTAATGATATCAAAATCATCACGGTTTTTATGAGTATTCACGCATCTCTAGTCATAATCCTGTATCACCATGTCCAGTAAGTAACTTGTCTTTGATAACATACTCTTTTTGCAAAATCAAAAATTTCAGTGATCAAGAATGGTGTGGATGAATATGAATAAAATGCATGATCGAATAACGTAGCAGAATACGACATGTACATGTGTGTATGTTTACTTTTTCCTTTAATACTACAGTTTTTTTTATAAGATTATAGTTTTAACATACAATCATTTTTTTACATCATTATTCCCGTTTTTCTCTAGTGCAATAGTCCTACTACTTAGATAAAATTGTACGCCTCCACCTCCCCCACTGCTGCGAGTCGACGTGCTTATCATACATGAATATCAAACGTACAGATTTCAGATACGAGCTAAATACTAATAGATTTGATGTAGAAATAATGGCATAAATATCAAGCTGCGCATATGGAATGTCCATTTACACGGCCTCTTAAGGGAGATGTAGGGCAAAGTGTTTGAAGAGTGCTTTAATGATGCATATACGCTTAATATTTTGTTTGCTTGTCTGGAAATATCATCTTTAGGCGAAGTTAGAGAATATGTTTTCATTCCATTTAACAAATGACGTCAGACGCACGCATTGTTTGTTAAGATATTGAAGACAAAAAAGCAATTGTAGTTGTGGAAAAACAACGATACGAAATCACAAACAAAAACCACAATTCAATTAGGTGTAAACACTTAGTCGCTAAAAGCATACTCTTGAAATATCAACTTAGTCATTCTTAACCACGTGTATTGCTCGCACAGTCAGAATAATTGATGACGTATTACAATAGATATGTTCACATTTTCCTAATATGCCGGAACAAATGTGTAACCATTAATAGTAATTGTTACGCACATAGCGCAACCAAGCATGTAGGTAGCATGTTTCGGCTGCATGACGTTTCATGTTCAAGCCTGGGAAATGTTTTGAAAAGAAAATTTAAAAGAAAGAAGAAAGAAATTGGGAAGTTTTGTAAATAGGAACTCTTTTTACGTCTGAAATCGATAGAAACAACCTCTTCGTCTTTCTCTTCCACTTTCTCCTCAAAATCAAACGTACATCAGAAGAATACACATTGGTTGCTACAGTCTGCATAAATAGTAGACACATCAATTAGGATTTCTACAATTAAATCGAGGATATATATATAAGAATCACCCATAAATAAAGTGACTATAACGGTTTACGATAACTCTCGTCATTTTGCGTAGCAGAATACTTGATTCAGTCAATGAACCCTCGTTATCTTATGCTAACTAATTAAAGGCTATTGTACCACCAGTGAAACATCGTCCTTGTCATGCATTCATCCTACATGGTTAATTGGAACAGCCTTAACTTGCGGAGCAGTTACAAATAATCCACCCCGGAAATTTTAAATCTTCAAGTCCCATTCTGACTGCATGATTTTTTCATTAACTGTGAAGCTTGTCTGGATGCTCGGGTTAAGCTCAATCAAGATGTCTATAGACGTCAATGAAAGCCCGATCGTAGAGGAGTAATTTCGGATGTATTGCGATCTTCAATCTTAGGGTAGACGGAAGTCTTTTTTCTTTCTTTTCTTTTGGTTAAGGCAGAAGGGTACTGTACTCTTTTGACCTGACTTAACAATTGAAATAAAGATGTTTCGAAAGAGTCATTTAAAGTATCGTTTTGGTCAACTATCATCAGGAAGCGTAAAAGTTACATTGTTAGCAATCTCTAAATAATAGTTTCGGAATAGTCGTTTAAAGTAAGACCATCATTTTTTTCTATTGGGAGATTCCATTGTAATCGTTTAAAAATACAGGATTTGATGATATCATAATCACTACAAATTAACGTAATTCAGATAAAGAGATGAATACGAGCGTTCACTCCTTCTTAATCTTAATAATGTGTATAAATTATTTACGCACTATATACGCATACATTTTCACACAATTTACGTTGCCTCATCAGGACGGAGGCAGTGATCCATAATTTAAAAAATTGGAGAGGGAAAATAAAATTATCAGAAGCATTTGCTTCTCGGTTAATTGTACAAGGCCTGTTTGCCTTAACACCCCTCTCCACCTCATTGATTCTCTGAACGATGCGCAGTATATTTCGCACCACATCTGTTTTTTCTAACATTACATTCATCTGGGAAATGTTCATTTCGATGCATCCTTACTTCGAAATCATCCAAGTCCGGATGATATGGCTGGGGCACACAATCACCCTAATCAACCTTCTCAAGTGATCGACGCTCTTGTAAGAAAATCAAATATCATTACCTTTTCGTCATCCGCAGAGAATGTTGCCCCTGTAACCTTGTTGATGACCAGCGCCACACCGATGACGTCATCTTCACTGTTTCTGATTGGCAGACACAGAAGGGATTCCGCCCTGGACCCGAGATTGGGTTGTACGTCATTCAAACATGGCGGTTCCTGGAAACAGACAGGGATGACAAAATGCAAATATTAATTTATTTGTCAACTGACAACATGGTAGGTTTTCATGTAGCTGTGTGGATCCAGCAGAATGTGGTTCGAAAATTACATTTCCCAACACAGTAATTGCTTATTTTGGGTTATATTTGTTAGTTGATGATTACATGAATATTCAGTTTCGACATCTCGACTTTGACAGGGATGACAAGATGCAAATATTAAATTTTTCTTCCAACTGACGACATGGTCATTTTTCATGTAGCTGTGTGGATCCAGCAGAATGTGGTTAGAAAGTTACCCAACACAGTAATTGCTAATTTTGTGATATATGTTGTAGCCGATGATTACATGACAATTCGGTTTTGACATCTCGACATTTGATTTATAAGCGATGCCTGAATCATTTTTAATCAACCACAACACCAAGATGGAGCCGTATACGACACTTGTCTGTACCAATCACTTATTCTTGACCTTTAACAACAACACGGAAGTGATAGACCACAGTGGTTGTATTTAATACCACCCTCTTATTACCCCTCCATATACGTACACACCCTTACCCCTCACTCACACCAACCATCATTCACAAACACACACTCCCTCTTCCATCCTTCATATCTTTATGAATCTGCGAGACAAAATAGGGTTTGAGAAATTGAAAGAGTGGTACGCGACGATATTGACAAAAAAATCAAAGCGAAGCCATTGCATGCAGAGATTTTGTCACGTAGTATTATAATCTGCGGAAAACATCAGCGTCACATAACCTAAAGGAGAGATGAAAGCAATAAGGGCATTTCGAAGAAAATGTCTACCGTCATGAGGACTCACACTAATGTTGTTTATTTGCTGAAGATCTCGGAAAAGCACAACCGCACAAGTACAACATTATAGCCTACAATCTTCAGCATGAAGGGTTCTATGATTTGTAAAGATGTGCATCCGATTCACAGTAATTTTGAAATGAAGAAATACGAGATACATCATCTGTGTTTCTTTTACCCCATGTTGAAATAACTTTACCCTCCGGACTTCCCCCTGACCACTACGCCAAGCTACCACTAAGACAATTATCAATTGAAACACCGGTCAATTCACCTAGGACAATCATCATCATGAAAATTGCCCCTCTGGGATGGCGAAGGTTATCTCAAATGAGCTTATCATATATCGCTCTTCGGGCTTAATAACTATTCGAGTATATATCTTGGTGGTAATTGTCCAATATAGGAGGGCATTAGACTATTCGGTTATAATGTCCTGAGGTAAAGATTGTAGTTGTCCTGGAGATAATCGATTGGGGGAGCGGGCGGGGGTGAATGTATAGTATATTTGCACTGAGATAGTGGGTTCGAGGTCATTGTCCTTGGAATAACCTTTCCACTTGACTTGGAGACGATTTATTAAATATTCACCGTCTTACATCTTATTATAAGATCAAACTATAGTTACCATTGTATAGTATAGTCATTCAGTCATTATGACACTCCGTAAAAGTGCACTGACATGTAAGCTGAATAATATGAAAAGATTTGCTCATTGAGGCCTAAAATACATTTTCTCTCCATCCAGATGTCATATAGGCTCAAAGAATTTGAAAAGAGAGCAAAGTGATGGAGGAATGTGTTTACAGAATTGAGCCTTGCGTCAATCCGAATCCCTGAAGTAATTACCAATCTCAAAATGTCTTTACACACCTTCATTTTTATATCTTCTTTGAAAGCTTGAATTAACATGAACAGAAGCACAATGTAGCGAAAGAGCTCCATTAAAACATGGAAACACAAACATTACACGCCCAGGGGGAACTTTATATTCAATGTTTCCGGAGAAAAAATCCTGGACAATCATACTTATACAGAACAATGACACCCTGTTTAGTTATTGATATTCCCATGACGAATAGTAAATACAATAGCAACTCCGCCTACAGCATGTATCAGTACACCATGCGTTAAGAATTGTTTACATTTTGTTCAATTCTAGAATCAGTCGAGAGGTTTATACTGACGTCAAACAACTCATATCGCACTTGATAATAAGAACAAAACTTTATAAGTACTCAGGATTAGCTTATGTGCTTGAATTAAATTGTATGTCAGAATACTTTTGAATTCTACTTTAAATTACATGGTCTTCTAAATAGTCTAGATTTTGCTTCTTTGTCCCTAGGTAATGAAGTATTACTTTACAATTGCTTTGGAAGTAATACATGCAGATATACATGTTAACATAAATAATATTACGTGACAGAAATGTATTTATATCATCATCTAATCATGCTGGATCGCTTTTCTCCATTTGGTTCGAGGGGGATGGTTGAGTCCTGACGACAATTATTCATAATTCATTTTCCTTATTTTTCCGTTCTATTTGTTTGGTACAATACATTGAAAAGGCATTTGCAAAACACAATTCTGAAAACAATAAAGGCATCACGATTACATGTATGAGCGCAGATGGATGTCGTATAAAAATATAACAAAATTATCACGTTCGGTACTTGGAATGAGGGAAGAAATAGGATGGAAGCTTTCACATGATGTATTGCAAAACGTTTGGTGAGGGAATCAGCACCATAAATCTCTTTCATAATGTGGTGTACAGTCAATGTAAGTTAGTGATCTCCGTTCTATGAAAGCGCAATCATCATCACTCTAAAAACAAAAGCCGTCTTCTTTATTAGAGTATCCATCAATATTTTGGGATGAATAAGTGGCCTAGTGCACGCTGAAGGCGGATCTCGTTATTACCTTGTCATATTATGTTGGCATTTGGTTAGATTTTTTTGTACAACGTTCGACTGAGAATGGAGAATTTGTAAATATATTTGTGTTCAAAGAGAGAAATAGCATTTTGAAAAAGGGTCCATAACTTAATCAGATAAACATGAGTTTATGTAAAAATACATGGAAACATACATATTCAATGATTTTGCGTGTTAATTGTGTGGTCTATCATTTTGACGATCATGAGTTTAAATGAACAATATCTTTCAATTTTCTCTATCTTCAATCTGTAATCATTATAATTGCATTTGTGCGTGGGATGGTTGTGTGTGAGTGTGTGCGCGTGGGGGTCATTTCACTGCGTTGGGTCGGTCATGAACAAGCAACAACAAAAAGAGCACTGTCATTGACCAATTTCTCTGCGATTAGGACAATAATTACGGATATATTCAGATATATATCTCAATAGAAGGATTATTCTATGCAAACAAATACGAACAAGAATACATGTAGATCAATAATGCGACGATTACAGGGGACTGTATATTTAGTCGACATACGGTTTCAACGATCGATTATGTCAAACCTCTCTTTATCATGATAGTAATCTCAGTCGGATGTAAGGGGCCTCCCGGGAAACGAAGCATGTCAGAATGCCGTACGTGTGTACCAATCAAACCGTTTTCTTCTGTGAACGATATTTGTATTTCCGCAATTCCTTATCGACCAACAAAACGAAAGGAGCAAATAATAATGATTGGATTGGGAATAACGAGGGTGACATAGTTCTTTTTAAAGGAGGTGAATTAAGCCTGATAAAGGACTTACCATGGAATGGAAGGTATCAGTAAACTACGCTGTTTCTGACATAATTTCCAATCAAAGGGTTTTGATATCTTTGACTTTTCCTTTGTTTTTCTTCAATGTGTCATAATCTTATCCATACCAATACTGCGATTCTAGGAAGGTCCAGATGGCCTTCATATATTTTTTTCTAAAAGTATACATTTCGTATTCCTTAAACAATTTATCTTGATACTATGATAATCCCTTGGGGGAAAGGTGGACCAGCTGTCCGGAAAACACTATCAACACTGTAACAAACCAAATTTTGAAAATGAACGAGGTTTACTTTTGAAAGAAAGAAAATCCTTTTGCCATTTAGGCCTGCCAATAGCGAACCTAAATTTGAAAAATTTCATTCACGGAACACCTTTGTCATATTTGTGTGCGGATGTGTGCGTATATAATTGTGAGTGTGTTATCGTTTGTGTGCGTGTTATATTTTTGTCAGGGTAAATTAATCAGATACGACCATTTTCATCTCATAAAAGATTGAAATGAGGATCGAATCCTGAGACATTAACCGGCAGACGAAAGAAGTGACCACTACCCAACTTACAGATCTGCCCATGGTAGGAAGTTAATAGATTGATTTCTTCCTTTTCGTAAGTCCTTTTTTTTTTTTGAACCCTCTCTCTTTCTCTTACCCACTTTAAGTCGAGGAAAAGACGACTCCTTCATTTGGTAGCCTGGCGCTTTACGTTTCAACAGGTGTCGGACACACTATCCCGATACTCGCATTTCTCGGCAGGGTGTGCTATCTTGTCCTGATATGAAGCCCTTCCCGCCTCTTTCCTTCGCTCCTACGTACGCGTAGGCGTTTGCGTGTGGCATGTGTGTATGTGTGGGTGGATATTATGCGCGCGGGGTACATACTATATGCATTAGACATTGTAGAGTGGGCCATAGGGGTGAAATGCCATTTTATGCCGTCATCTGTGTTCGTGTGGATCGTGTGTGTAGGAAAAGCAGGGCGTTCACATTTCGTGTGGTTCTGTAGGTTCTGTAGGTCATTCTCAGCATGTTTTCTTTTTAATTAAGGTTTTCTTTGAACAACTGTCCACTTACCCATGACTGATTAACCAATATGTCTAAAAGAAAAAGAGGCTTCTATTTCTTTCCCATCACTGACTATCCAGTAAAAATATAAAGAATCATCGACAGTAGAGTATTTCAATGACCCTTATTTTAAATGAATGAATATGCTAATTTGACAAGAGGTCTCTCTCACTTCATTCATTACAATGACTCTATTTCATTTCAGTTTATGCTTTATCTGGTGAACCTTTTTTTTAAAACCAATAATGATTTGCTGAAAGTTGAAAAGCCGGACCTGTAATTTATTCTCTCCTAAATGGAAACTGGAAACTATTCTTACTGCTTTAAAAAAAAAACACTAATTGACGTGATTATTTACAGCTA